GCTAAGCTATTGTGCTGCTGCTGCTGCTCTTAAGGGGTTTTTTTTTATGTTTTAAAAGCTGCTACAGCATTTTAAATTTTTCTGGTATCAAAATGAAGGAGTTCTGGAGCTCATGCTTACAAATTTTCCAGAATCTTACATGCATTCTTCCATTTCCATTATACTGGGATTCAGTAGAGGATTTTAATGAGGCTGGACCAGCCCCCAGCCTTGTTTGTTTACTGGACAGACCTGGACTCAGGTCTATCAATGGCTGCTCTGGGGAGCTCCTGACATCAGGTCTGTGACACTACATTCCTGACTGTACTGACATCCAGACTATTTTGGCCCATGTAAAATGTGTGTGTCCTTCTACAGTGATGCAGGAGAAAGGTTTATCGCAAGAAAAATTCAGAATTGTTTGGTGCAAGCTGAAGGGTTGAGTGATTCTTTTATTACTTAGGCTTTGGGTATTTCAGAGCTCAGGCTCCAGCTGGCAGAATATAAAAGAGTGGGTTTATGTCTTGTTTTGTGCCACTGCAGATCCTAAGTTAGCTATGAGAGGTTCTGGGTATGGGGAACAGAATTGGGCAATCATTTGTGGAAAGCAGCGAGATCCATTTGGACTCAAATCCCATATCTGATTGTTTTCAGCACTTGTACCAGCAGGACATAACAGATGTTGGGTCTGTTGGAAGCAGTGTGAGTAGTCAAATATCTTCTCTTTTGGGGGGATGACATTTGGGGATGTTAGCACAAAAAAAAAAACAAACCAAAAAACCACCGAATCACCAAAAAGCAAACATGTGGCAGATGCCAGAGGTATTTTCTGTGGCATGGCTAAAATGTTCCAAATTTCAAGACTGGTTGGTGAATTAGGAATGCCAGGATATTTTTTTTCTGAGAAGTCAGCCAAACTTAGCAGCTTGCCTACAAAATGAGCAGAATCCCAAGGAACTGGTGCAGGTCCTGTATTTCCATTTGGAAAAAAAAAGTCTGCAGAAAGACAAGCATAAATGACTCATGACATACCCAAACATTTTGTCCATGCAACTGCAAGGGCTGTGCAGTTTGACTTGTGTGTCATAAACCCCACAAAAGATCCAAGCACTTGGATTTATGCAATAGCTATTTGGTTTTTCTTTTTCACGTTCAACAATTCAAGAGAAGGAAGAAATGCCTTCAGTGGCCATTCGTAAGTAACACTGATTACTGGCCTCCTATGAGCTTGATGAAGTCCAGCAAATCCATCGTTGACTGATGCTTTCCCTGTGCAAAATCGGATTTTTGTATTTTGCTAATCCCCGGTTACAATCTGTGCCCTGCTCTTTGTGATCCACCCTGCAATCAGAATCCAACCAGCCCAGATGTAACCCAGGACATTAATATAAAATCTTGACGTTGGAAACCAAGCATTTATTAGCATAAATCTTAAATACAGGAAGGAGGTGTTTACTGTGCAGAAACTTTGGGATTTGTCTGCAGAGTTCCCTGTTTTCTTGGGCTGAGGAGTACAAGAAGCTTCCACAGGCAAAGCGGCAAACTGGAAGTCGCCTGGAGCTGACACGCTGGAGCACTCACTGCCTGGGCTGGATGGTTTTCTTGCTCTGAGGAGCAGGACAAGCTTGTAGGAGATGCTCCAGTACAGCCTTTGGATCTTTTTCTTGGCAACAATGAAGGCGAGAGGAGAGCTGCCATTCATTGCAGAAAACAACGCAGCTATGATGGTGAACTGGTAAGGAAAAACGTGTCTTTGCTCTTTCATGGGAGATAGTTACTCATCCTTTTCTCTGCAGAAGTGACCACTCTGTCTATATGCTTCTCTTGACTTTAGGTATTTTTGCTTTAGCAGCAGCTTTGTGTCTCCTGAGATGGGCAAGGGATGGGGTGAAGCTCTATAGCAGGAGATGGCAGTTGTGTTTAGTTGCTCCCCTGTGCTGCCCAAGGCAAACCTTCCCTGGCTCTTTGGAGCATAAGCAGCAAGCTCAGGTTGCCCCTCTTTCTTTGCCAGCAGGAGCACAAAGCTTTACACACCTTTACGTTTCAGTCCAGCTAACTTTGTGTGCGCCTGTACATGTCTTCTCATCGCCCAAACTTCCTGAAGATAGTAACAAGTTCCTAACTCAATCTATATTTTGTCCTCTACACCTCTGCCCATCATTTTTCACCAGGGACACCGTTTGCCACCAGCAGACTGTGCTGGGCTTTTCCCATAGGAATCCCTCCTGGCTGTGCTGGCTGCCCCTTTCCCTAACCCAAGACCCTCGCAACCAGCAGTGGTGGAAATTCCCCTTCCCTTCGTGGCAGGCTGCTTTTTCCCCTCTCCCCCCACCCTGCTGGATGCCACTAATGCTTCCCAGCCGAGTGCATTGTGTAAGCTGGTTAAGCCCGTCCTGCTGAGCCCGTGATCGCTGTCCCTGCCTCGACCCCACGGATCTCCCCCCAGCGCTCGCCCAGGGCTGCCCTTGCGTGGGAGCCCTAAGAAGCAAAGGGGGAACGGTTCACGTGGATGTCCTGCCTGGGATTAAAGCTTCTTTGCCTCCCTAATGCTGCCACATCTGGCGCCTCCTCTCGCAGCCCGGGAGGGGATGGGAATCCTCGGGGTTTGCACCTTCCCTGCAGCCTCGTGGTGCCCGGACACGCTGCAGAGCCACAGCCCCTGCGCCCTCCCTCCCGCCCCGCGCGCATCGGGCAAAGCATTTTAAAGCCACGATTGAAGGAGATCAAACGCGTGGGTGGTGTTTGCCTCCCAGGGTGGTTTCTCCCCCGGGGAAATAAGCCAGCAATAGCGCCAGGTGATCGCCAAGAAGCTGTAAATAGCAGGAGCTTGGATGCATCTCCAGCCTGACAATGGACCAAACCCCAGCACAGAATCCTCTCGGTGTTTAAGTGCTTCTGTTAAGTGGCTATGAATCCGCACAGGATTCCCTAGCTCTCCACAACACACAGATGCTTCCCGAGCTTTATTGCAAAATAACCAGAGCATGTGCATCATCCCTCCCGTTCCAGCTATCAGCAACCATGGGATGGAAATATTCTCCCTACCTGTACTGGTACTGATGTTTTCAGTTCCTACAGTTTGTCCCATCAGGTGGTACTGGTTGAGTCGTGAGCCGTCTTCGGCCACCACCACCGACGTTGTGGTGCTGTTAGTCCACACGTAGATCACTTCAGAATTGGGGTAAGCATCTGCCAACAAGGGGGGGAAAAAGAGACAGTGATGAGTAAAAAACACTCTGTAATATTTTAGTGGATCCTTAAATCATAACATTGGGGAGAGGAATGGAGGAGAGAGAGTGAATGGAGAAAAACAAATAAAGATGGTATAATCGTAGTCCCATATGCCCAGCTCAAGAAATAATAGGTTGAAGCCTCCTTCTAATATAAGAGATGTGTGGGATGGTTTGTGAAAAGCTGGAACAGTGAATTTATAAATATAATCCATCACAACCACTCAATTTGGGAAAGAGCAGCTCTGACCTATACTCCCCTAGCTGGTGGCTCCTAAACCCCAGCAAGCTGCAAAAGGCATTTTGTTGAAGTTACCCCTCCAAAGGACTTGGGTACCTTGAGTGCCTGGACAACAGGGACCCTCTGTGTCTTGTCCCATCTCCAGGATAAAATTCTAAGTGATGCCTTGTGCAAGTGCAGGCTCTGGTGTGTGTGCACTGACTTTGGAATATATGTGTGGATGAAGGGCTAGGTCTGGCATGAAGGTGATGGCTGTAGATAAAGGGAGCTGCAATGTGTCTGCCTGTGTGTGATGCTGTGAGCAGACACAGGATTCAGGGGTGAGAACACATGAAGGAGAGCATGAGTGAGCCAGGGGGAGGACGGAGATGTTTGTGTATACCAGAGCAAATGGGTGACAGTGTGGGAACACTTGCACACCTGGAGATGTGAATGTGATTTCTCTGACATTCATTTGGAGGACAGAGGGAATAAAGGTGGTGGCAGTACTGCTAACTTTCATGGACCTAGGAAATAAAGGTGGTGGCAGTACTGCTAACTCATTCCTTCCTCAATAATGGTGCTCTTTGACTGATTATGCTATTACAAGGCGATTTCAATTTTCTTTCAGCTATGTCTGCAGATAGTTTCAAAAAATCCAGGAGCTGACTATACATTTAAATATATTTTATGTAACGTAAGTAGCTGTAACACTTCTTAGAACCTCCTAGGAAATAAAGGTGGTGGCAGTACTGCTAACTCATTCCTTCCTCAATAATGGTGCTCTTTGACTGATTATGCTATTACAAGGCGATTTCAATTTTCTTTCAGCTATGTCTGCAGATAGTTTCAAAAAATCCAGGAGCTGACTATACATTTAAATATATTTTATGTAACGTAAGTAGCTGTAACACTTCTTAGAACCTCTCGATTGCTGAAAGCTTTCAGGTCACACTCCTGCAGGCATGAAGAGCAGCCTAGAATCCATTGTACTAGTGTCTCTGGAAAGCAGGCAAGGCTTACTCTCCAAATAAGTGAAAAGCAGGTAGACTTGGAAGTGGTCTGAAGTCAAATACTAATATCCCACCTTCCGCACTCTAATTTTGTACATTGAGAGTGCAAAATGTTTCTTTCTGGAAAAACTCACATCCTAGTTCAGGAGACAATACATGGTGACTTTCCAGGTATGGACTTGAGAGTCAAGGACAAGAGGTTAGCTTGAAAGATTGTGTCCTGGCTCCATCAGACTGCGTGTTTTGTTTGCTAGAGCTAGTAAGTTGTCCTGGAAAGCTGAAGCTCCATGAAGGACTTATAAAAAATCACATACAGTGGGTCAGCATGAGCTGCTGAGGCACTGCAATGGCAAGAAATATGCTAAGGTGATCCCTGGATCCATACAACCAGGAATGTCAAGCAGAAAATGGGAAGTGATCCTGGTTCAGGCTAAGAGCACGTGTAGCACAATGAGCTTCACATCATTTAAATGCTGGACTAGGGAGCAGGGAAGAAAGCAGCACTCTGTTTTCACTGTTATTGATGCTCCTGCATGATGTGTGTGAGGCAGGACAGGAGGCTAGGTAACATCTTTGGTCTGACTGCTTATGGCTATTCATTCACACCTCAGAAAATATATCGAAATAATGAGGACAGAGACAGGAAGAGAATTGAAAAGAGGGTCACAAATATCTCCAGGGACGGGAAAATAAATCATGATTTGAAACTGAAGGAGCTCAACTTCCTCAGCTCACTGACAAGAAGCTGAGGTGTGGCTCAAGCACTGAGGATAGATATTTGCACACAGGAATCTAAAACCAGGGGGAATCTCCTGTACTACTGACAAAAGGTGCCTGAAAGATGGTTCCAGGCTGATTCAGACGAATCTGAATTTCCTAACTGGGTGGGGGTGGGTGGGTACAATGGGTAACTTTCTGAGAGAAAATATTATGGAGTACTGTGTTAAGGAAATTTGCCTGTCTGACCATCCAGGAGCCACTCAGGCAGTCACTCCCCTTTGAACCCCAAGTTTCCCATAGCAGAGTCTCAGATGTCCAGATCCTTAAAATAATATAATCATGGTGCAATAACTACATAACTAACAGGTGGAGCTGGGTGTCTCTGAGGAGGAACCCTGAACAAAGGAACTCCTGGGCTTTTATACCCTTACAAGCTAAGGGTGGGAAGGTCTGAGGGTCATCAGCTGCTGCTGTGTCTCTGTGTCCAGTCACCAGGTCAGTGCTACAGGTCCTCTGTTATACAAAGGGTCGACAGCTCCTGGCCTCTCTCATTGGGATGAGGCTCCTGCCCCCCCAGAGCTCAACCAGAGGCTCACACTGCAGCTGCACACCAAGCTACCTGCACTAATGTATTCCACAACAACTGTCACTAGAAAGATAATTCTGAGTTGAATTATTTTTTTTTGTCATATATCTGACAGTTGTTGCTGATGTGTTCAGCACTGGAGCTGATCCAAGGTTGGGAAGCTGAGGATCTACAAATCCTTCATCCCTTGTTAGCCATGCAGGACTGCCCACATGCCTTCCCTGAGCTTGTATTTGTAGCTCTGCAGTAAAATTACTGTAATTACATGTCATGATGCACTTTGAAAGGTTAAGAAGGTGTCTTCCCTATTTCAAAATATTTGCATCACAAGAAGTGATGGAATTTCACCTTCCCTTTAGAGCTGAGATGCTTTATTATCTCAGAGGTGATTGCAAGTTCACAACATGCTGCAAATAATTTCAATGCCAGATCTGGAGAAGGCAAGTAGGAGGAGATGGGGTGATTTAAAAAGGTGATGCAGAAAGGCCTCCTTTTTTTAATGCTTATCTGTATACATTGTTCATGTCCTGATATCCCTAGTGAATGTGGGATTTGTGTAGGCAGATTTTTGGATTGTCAGAGGATTTGATTTTTACCTATGTTACTTCCTACACAAAAATACCCAGCACTGGACTATTTTTCCTGGGATGATCCAGATGTATCCCCCTTCAGCGGTTTCCTGTTTCTGCAATGATCCTATCCACTGGGATAATTGGGTTTGTCCTGTTTTCTGATGATGACACACATTAATTCATCCTGACTGGACACTTACCAGTGAGAGCACTGTAACCAAATTCCACTGAAACTGCGACCACATGGGAACACAAGGCCTGTAAGGCTTAACAAGTACTCAGATGCTTTGGTTCTCTGCTCTGCCTAGCCTGGGGTGGTCCTAAAAATAAATCATTGCCTCTGCTTTGAATTGCAGCCTTTACTGGCTATTTAAACACATGCACTGGTACAAGGTTGGAGGCCCCTACTCTGGAGAATTCCAGCAACTCCTCTTGTAAAAAAGTATCTTCAGTTAAGACAGAGGCCAGAAAGTGCCAAAACTCTATCCAGATCTCACAGGTATGTCCAAGCAATACGTTGTGAGGCTGTTTTCTTTTAAAACCCTGTCAGGGAAGGGAGACTGGTGAGAAGAGAGAGCACTCAGGCAGGCAAGAGCACAGCATGAGGCCAGGCCCTGCCTGGGAGGAGGACTCCAGCCTGTAGGTCCTTTCTCAAAGGAAAATACTTACTGCAAGGCTACAAGACAAAGAGCTGTGCCCCTGCTTGGCCAGGAGTAGAGTATCTATGGGAGAAGAGAATAGCCCAGCTAGAAGAGATTCTTGTGAAAGGGCAGGATGGTTATAGAATCATAGAATCATAGAATTTTAGGGGTTGGAATGGACCTTTGAGATCACCCAACCCCAATTCCTGCCCTGGGCACGGACACCTCCCAGCAGAGCAGGTTGCTCAAGGCTCATCCAACCTGGCTGTGAACACTGCCAGGGTTGG